AGTAAATTAGGACCTCAGATAGCCCAGTAAATAGAAATTAATGCCATAGCTACACAGTCAGCTAAGCAAGGGAATTGACCCAGCTGTAAAATAACCCCACCACATTAGTTTTCAGTCTGATTGGGGTGTGGGAGCAGGAGAGGGTGACCCAGGTGGTGGTGGCCCAGGATGGGGGGCAGGCAAGGCAGGGCTGCCCTTAGCAGCACATCAGCACGGTGGTGTGGCCACGTCCTGAGCTCACGTACCTGCGTGTTGAACCTGACCCAGTGGGCGCTGCTCTCAAAGCCAAAATCAGTTAGAGTTTTCAGAGCTCTGCCTTGGGCATTGCGGCTGTTTTGCAGTCCCAGGAGACAGCAGCTCCCACCAGCATCCCTGGGCAGCCGCAGATGCAGGGCTGAGTGTTTTTACACTGCACACATGACTTTTTCTACATTCACAGAGCAAGACCAATAGAAAGTTTTACTAGCTTTCTTTTTTCTTTTGTCGTGGTAAGGAAAAGGATCATCATCAAAGAGGATGAGGGCCATTAAAAACTCAATATTCTGCTACAGTGATTGGTTTATGGCCTCATTTTGCAGCAGCTTCTTTATCAGGTGTGCAGCTTCATTGCGTGTCCTATAGCCCACGCACTTCAAGAGTTTGTTATCTGCAGGACACTCTGCTCCTGTTTCCAGAATAGCTGATGCCTGACACAGGAACTGCTCTGGAGTGAACATTATCCAAGACCCGATTCTCCAATCTGTTAGCTGGTTTTGGCACTCTATCTCCACAGATTTCTGTGAAGATAGAAGGAAAAAACCTGGGGGTTGGAGATCAGACCTTGCATTGCTGATAGCTTTTACTGAAAAAACTAGGGTGTTTTACAATGCACTAATGCCTGAAAAATAGCTGGGCTTAATTTTCTGTTAATTGCCTGCCCTTAGCCAAACCCAAATAAAATTTTGTGTCACCCCTTAGGGGATGAAACATTCCCTAAGTCGCACCTTGAAGACAGGAAGAGCAAAACAGTAATGCTTGGAAAATGCCCTGTTGTCTCCTCCACAACATGGCAAAAGCTCACACATTTGAAAACTGTAAACATATTCCAACTCACATTTATTCACGTTACTGCTTTCACATTGATGTGGTGCAAGATACTGCTCATTTCAGATGGGACCACCAATGTGCCCCAGTAAACTCTTGATATCTTGATATTCATACCATGAATTAATACTGTACTCAGAACATTAATAAATACTTGAAGAGTCTGTAAATGACCTACACTGAACTCCTTTGTAAAAGTATTTACCTTATTTAAATGGATTTATTTTGGTGTCAAAATATATTATACCACGAACTGCTGGATGCAACTGTTCTGACAAATTTTGTGCACTTGGTATGGTCTTTGTCACTGCTGTAAGTCTGCCCGAGTTTGGGATTGAGCAGAAAGTGATGAAGAACCTGCAGAGCCAAATTAGATTTGATCTTAAGATGCTCACTTTGCTCTTGTTAAAAGCAGCAGGTCTTGAAGCAACGCAGCACTTCCCAGGGAGTTCCTGTGGGCTGGTGCTCAATGGTGTGCTGCTCTGGTGATGCCTCAGTCTGGGATGAAATGTTGGATGCTTCAACCTCAGCCCAGGATGAAACGGATGCTTCAAGCTCCTCTGAGTTTTCTGAGCACATCAGACTTCCTTGCATGCACTTGTGCATGTGCACGTGTGTGTGCGCTACTCACCATCCCCACAGAGCAAAAACCCAAGCACCCGTGCTAGGTACGTGATGTGGCAGTCCCTAACTGTGCCTTTTAGACATAGCCTTCATGGCAGACATGGTTGCCATTGATAAGGCTGAAGGTGGCAAGGGAATGGTTGGTGCTCTTGAGGGAGGTCATTCGTGTGGTGCTCCTGGCCATGCTCTGGGATCGGATGAGGAGGCGAGCTCTGCAGCAGAACAACTGGTTGTTGAACTGTTTCCGAAAGCTCTTGCTGAGCAAGTAGAGAGCAAATGGGTTGACACAAGAGTTAGTGAATGCCAGGATCCGAGCACAGATGCTGGCGATGAAATGCAACACTGAGGTGTCCACCTCTGAGTAGTGGTAGGACCGGTATAAATAGATGATGTGAGTGGGAAGCCAGCAGAAGGCAAAGAGGCACACAAAGACCAGTACTGTCCTGGCCAGGCGCTTACGGGATTCAATCTGGAAGAAGAAAGAGAAATGCAGATTAGCAACTATTCCTAGCTCAGACCAGTAGCTAATGATTTTTCCAGGTGCTGCAGCTTTGGGGTTAGCATGTGGCAGGTGGCACGGCCAGAGCTGGGCAACCTGGACCACAGGTGAACACAACAGAGTCAAGAACCCTCCTTGTCTCTCCTCAATCCTCTTCCCCTAAAACAATTCTGAAAATTTGTTATATAAAGAAATAGTCTTTCCTTTCCTGTTTAGGGATAAAACTCCAATGGCTTGTCACTTTGTAAAATCCCAGCTCAGGCAACAAAAGTGCAGACAACTGCGTTAGTTATCGCCATATAATATATATGTTCTTATGTAATTTATCTATATTAACTTATGAATATTACTATCATTATTATTATTATTATTAATTATGGGGTAGGTGTCTGGGATATTTCACAGAGCCCAGAGGCAGGGCTTGGTGCTTTGGGGCCATGTGGTATATGTACACAGAAGTGCTGCCAACAGCTCATGGCCCTTAGAGACCAAGTGCAGCACTCAGAGGCTGAAGAAGGCAGAGAAACTGAGAGAGGAAATTCTGTACTTGGAGAAAAAATGAGGCAGCAGCAAGGTGGACCCTTCAGCTGAAAGAGCTGGGGCCTTGAGGAGAAGGCAGATATAGGTGGTGAGTAGATGGATGACCACCTCTCTTAGCATAATTTGAGCTTTGTCAGGGAATGGTGCTTTTACGTTAGCTAGTACGCAGTATAACCTTCACGCAGACAACCCACACTTTTGTTTTACTTAGGTCTACAGGCTTGGAGTCAACCCAAATGTATTGCTCAACCAAGGGGAGCTGAGGTAAACTGTACCTTGTCTTTTGTCTACCAGTACTGCATACTAAGATAACAATGCCACTGAAAAACATATCTTTCTTCCTAAAAAAGGCAAGAGTTGTGATGGAGGTCGCTCAAAAGGAGCGGACAGACAGAGTTACCCAGAAAGACACTGCTCCCTTGAGAGAGTTTGTGCAGCCAGAAGTTTGCAGGCACAGAAAGTGTAACACCACTGACTTTTCAGGGCTTCATAATGTTCTCTTCCTGGTAATCCCTGTACCTCTTCCCAGGCACTCCTAGGGATTTTGTTGCAGCCTGCTGCCTGTGTTTGAGTAGGACCTGAATGGCCTGAAACTGCCCCTAGCCCCAGCCCCGCTGCCCTTGCTCCTGCCCTGGTGTGGCCGTGGTGCCTGGCCAGGTTCCTGGGACACTTCCCCACTCTCAGTCCCCTTCTGAGCTCCACAGGTACATCAGAAACTCAGCAGCTCACACGAGCTGATCTTTCCTCAGGACAGCTGCAAGCAGGGAGTAGGCAGGAGAGACCTGACAAGCCCATTTTTGACTTCATTTTGTGCCCCTTTAATGGTACCGACTGAAAATCAGCCATTGAGCTGAGGAAGGATTGACATGTACCAGATGATAATGTCTACAGAGAGCGGGCTCAAAATTAAATCCTTTGAGAGAGGGCTCTCCTTGGCTAAACCATATATTCTTTTTAAATGTATCCTTAATTTGATATAGGGCTATTGAGACCACATCTGCACTATAAAGAAAGGAAGCAACGCAATAAAGAAATCGATACCAGTTATCTCAGACCTATAGCTCCTGAATGCACTGCAGGACGGGAATGATGGACTGACGGTGCTAGACTGCAGCCTGGCCTTTTGCTTTCTTTAGAGCTCTCTCCCCAAAACCAAAGGGGAAAAGGGCTGCTCTTACTACTCACTTTATTGTCACTAATCAAAACAGTCATCAAATCAGCAGAAAAATGGCCTGCAGGGGAGAAATATTTGTGCACATTTAGAAGGGGAAAAGCATAAGGATTTCAGGGATCACACATCATTTAACGGACAGAAAGCACAGCTTTCCAGCCCTGCTGTTTCACCTCAGCACCTGAAGGCTACGTGAGATCATTGTTGTAGGTCAGCCTGAGGTAGAGATGTCAGTTGGATGCAATTATATGGACATTTGTTCAGCTGAAGAATGGCTTGTGTCAGTTTAGCTTAGCTTGAAGCACACCTCAGTTGAAAGGAAGAGGTAAGGTAAATAAGGTAAATATGTCAAGGTAAATAAGTTGTTTAGAAACAAGTTAGCCTGCTGTTGCTTTCTTACTTGGACAGCCTAAGGCTCAGATGCATTCAAATTTAAGCAGTGACCCAAAATACCCAGTTGCTTATAAGGATTTGTATTTCCCCCTGGAGATAACTCTTTTTCTCTCCAGTTGCTTACAACAGGAGCAGTCAAGAGGAAACAGTCTCCAGTTGAAAGGCTGGAGTTAGGTTGGCTAAATCCCCTCATTTGGTTCAGGACTTGCATATTTTCAGCCACACATTTTCAACCAGAGCACGAAACTCACTTGAAATACACGGGTCCCAGCTGAGCCAGCCCAACTATGAGCTCTGCGGTGGGACAATTTGGGGAGTTTTATAAAAACCCCTAGTCATGAGTGACAGTAACAGAAGTAACTCTGCTGTCAAGGGTACAAAGGGAAGGTTAAAAGACTACATTATTGTAGAGAAAATGGCCTGCTTATGTAAATCGAAGATGGTCTTAAGGTGAAACCTGAGGCTATCAGCTATTGGACCAGAAGAAGATTGACCAGTGTAATTTTTTAGAGGGCAAATGACAGGTGGACAGGTTACTCTGTCCAACACCACTCCTCTCCAGAGACCCTAGAAAAAAAGGCATTTTTAGAAGGACAATTATAATGACCAAAATGTTTAAGGGAAGAACCCAGAACTCTCCTCTTCTCCTGAGATTCCACACTGCAAAGATCAGACCATCCACAAGGCACATAGCTTCAGTGCATCTGTGAGGACCCCACACTGTCCTGCTCTGTCCTCCTTCCTGGAGACCCTGCGCCCACCACTGTCCTCCTCTGGTCTCCACTCCCCCAGTCCCTTTCTAACCTCTACTGGTACAAGAGCTGGAGCTGTGGTGAGTGCAGGAGGCATTGACACTCTTGCAGAGCAGCCATGTGCCTCCTGCCCTGACCGACGGGTGCTCCTGGCCCTGTGGGGCCCTTGCAGAAAGGGCTTCCCCCACCTTCGCTCCCCCATTGCTGTCCCCCGTTTGCTTTTCAGTCTGGAGGACCGAATTACAGAGCCAACATTTCCCTCTGTATGAAGAGGGACTGCTTCACGGAGCAAGGCTTTATCCAAGGTCCTCTCTCTGACAAAGCAACTTTGAGAGGTTTTGATTTTCTGCTGTGTCACCCCTCAGCTTCAATCTCCAAACACCATCCCCAGCTCTTTCTCTTTCCACCAGGCTTTGGCATGGGTCTCCCGCTGTGCTTGCCATGGTAACCACCCTGCCAAAGTCTCTGAACTTAGAAACAGGAGAAGATGCTTTAACTGTTTAGAGCTGTGCCATGGCTTGTGTCAACCATTTTAATTCTTTTAGCCCACCTAATCTATTAAAGTTAGTACAACAGATGCAGTCTGTCCCAGTGTAAATTTCCCTGTATGTGCACTCTTTAGTCCCAGATTCACGGGGAATGTGGGTTTTTGAAGAAAGTCAAGTCTCTACCTGTTTCCTCACATGCATGTTTCCTTCCACAGGGATGTTGTAAGCGCTCCGGATCAAATTCTTGGCAATGAAATAATAATATACTGAAATGACAGATAGGGGAATGATATAAAAAATCAGAAATGATGCCATTGAGTGAATTTTGGGATGCAGCCCATCAGAATGCGGATAAGGAGCACAGCTGACAAAGGTTTTATTAGTCCCTTTGTCATGGAAAGGGTGCAGATCTGAAAACACTGCTTCAGGGATGGCAAGCAACATGGATACAATCCAGATTATAGCAGCTCTCACACAAATCTTCATCAGTGCATGGGATGCTTGGATCTCCATTGGCCTTACTATAGCTTTATACCTAAAAAATAAAAAAGAAAGAAAGAATTTATTGACCTCAAACCTCAGGCATTGTATTCTTGCTTGTCCCTTCCATTTAGAAAACAAACAAACATACAAGCGAAATCTTTCTTTACTCAAGACTGTGAGGTTTTTTCTGGTGTTTTAAATTTTGATGTTTTCAATAGATTTCTCATTTTAAACCAGAGCCACCTGTCATGGGTCCATTCAGTTTCATGTGTATTGATTCTGAGTTCATTTAATTTGTAATCGACCCAACAAAGCACGGTGCTGCCTGACATTAATATGTATGTGTCCAAATAGCATTAAGATAGGAAGTGCAATCATAGACTTCGCTTCAAAAGCGTACAGCAGTTTACACCCCTTCACAGAACAATATGTTGAAGGAAACTGAATGGAGGTTTTGCCACACTTTTCATTTTGAGCTGTGAGTACTCTTGCCTCCTGCAAACCAAACCTTATGTTTTCTCAAACTACAAAGAGCATGTTGCCTGTTTTAATTGCTGTTTGGTGGTATAGCTGGCAACTAAGAGTTGTCTATAATTCAATGCACCCAGGCTAAGTAGCCAGAGCTGCTAACTGGCTTTCTTGAAGAAAAAAAAAATATTATTGCTTGCTGTGCTAGATATGTAGAAGACATTTTTTTAGTTACAATTTTGTCTTCCTTGATTTCAGCCTTTCAGAAAATTGTACTTTAGAATCCAAGAAAATGAAAGAAGCAAACTTATTTGAAGCTGATATGTGTAATGAGAGGAAAAACAGAAGACCTTTATATCTGCTGGAGCCCTGCTCTGGTAGGAGTAAATCACAATTTACATAAGCATTTAAGGAAAACAGTAGAAGAAAAAAAGACAGTTAGGAAGGAATATTTACAAGCTTCGTAAGTTATTATTAGGGTCATTATCATAACAATAACAGTCTGTTGGATATTTTTTTTTCAAGATCTACCTCACACTGCCCACACCCTATTTGGTCCCTTGGTCACTGTCAGCTCTCTGGGGATTGATGGGTGCCTGGGTCCTAGGCCGTCCCAGACAACATTTGGCATGGCAGGATACATCCCCCATTCCCATGTGGCTGCTCCAGAGTCCATTTCTAATCTCCTACCAGGATCCTGGCTCCTTCAGCTGGCCAAATTGGGCACTGGGGTGGGAGCAGAGGTAGCAAGAATAATGCCCTGCTGGAGACCAGGGAGCACACAGCAGGGTCCGTCCACCTGACAGCCCAAACAAGGGACACTTCATGTACATGACTGATTTCCTATATACGGTAGCCTGCATTATCCTAAAGCTCAGCAATTCAGAGAAGACTCTAACAGTCCTGCACTATTTTAACTGCATAATTGCCTTATTTGCAGGATAAGCACACATTCAACTTCTAGTTATAAGCAATACCCTGTTCAGCACACTGACCCTTTCCTTCTATGTGTATATATATGTGTATATGTGTGTACATCTGTGTGTGTATTTTATATGCATACACATGTATTTCATAGAATGATAGAACAGTTTGGGTTGGAAGGGATCTCAAAGATCATCTAGTTCCAACCCCCCTGCTGTGGGCAGGGACACCCTCCACTAGACCAGGTTGCCCAAAGCCCCATCCAACCTGGCCTTGAACACTTCCAGGGAGGGGGCATCCACAACCTCTCTGGGCAACCTGTTCCAGTGCCTCACCACTCTAACAATGAAGAATTTCTTCCTTTATCAAATCTAAATCTACCCACCTTCAGCTTAAACCCATTATCCCTTGTCCTGTCACTACATGCCCTTGTAAACAGTCCCTCTCCAGCTTTCTCATAGGTCCTCTTTAGCTACTGGAAGGCTGCTATAAGGTCTTCTCGGAGTCTTCTCTTCTCCAGGCTGAACAACCCCAACTCTCTCAGCTTGTCTTCACAGGAGAGGTGCTTCAGCCCTCTGGTCATCTTCGTGGCCCTCCTCTGGACTTACTTCAACAGCTTCATATATTTCTTGTACTGGGGCACCCAGAGCTGGACACAGTACTCTAGGTGGGGTCTCACAAGAGCGGAGCAGAGGGGCAGAATCACCTCCCTCAACCTGCTGGCCAGGCTGTTTTTTGATGCAGCCCAGGATATGGTTGGCTTTCTGAGCTGCAGGCACATCTTGCTGAGTCATGTTGAGCTTCTCCTCAGCCAACACCCCAGCTCCTTCTCCTCAGGGCTGCTTTCAATCCATTCTCTGCCCAGCCTATAGTTGTGCTTGGAATTGCCCTGACCCATGTGCAGGACCTTGCACTTGGCTTTGTTGAACTTCATGCGGTTCACACAGGCCCACCTCTCCAGCCTGTCAAGGTCCCTCTGGCAAGGCCGCTCTCAGTCCACTTTCTTCCCAGCCTGTATTTGTGCTTGGGACTGCCCCGAACCCATGTGCAGGAGTTGGCCTTGTTGAACTTCATAAGGTTCACACGGGCCAACCTCTCAAGCTTATCAAGGTCCCTCTGGATGCCATCCCTTCCCTCCAGCGTGTTGACCACACCACACAGCTTGGTGTCATTGGCAAATTTGCTTAGGGTGTACTTGATCCTGCTGTCCTTGTCACCGACAAAGATGTTAAACAGTGCCGGTCCCAGTACCAACTCCTGAGGAGTTGCCACTGTCACTTGCCACTGTTCTCCACTTGGACATTGAGCCGTTGACCACAACTCTTTGAGCGCGACCATCCAGCCAATTCCTTATCCCCTGAATGGTCCATCCGTCAAATCCATGTCTCTCTGATTTAGAGACAAGGATGTTGTGCAGGACAGTGTCAAATGCTTTGCACAGGTCCAGGTAGATGACATCAGTTGCCCTTCCCTTATCGACTAATGCCGCAACCCCATCACACAAGGTCATGAAATTTGTTAGGCACAATTTGCCCTTAGTGAAGCCATGTTGGCTGTCACCAATCACCTCCTTATTTTCCATGTGCCTTAGCACAGTTTCCAGGATAATCTGCTCCATGATCTTACCAGGCACAGAGGTGAAACTGATCAGTCTATAGTTCCCTGGGTCTTCCTTTTTTTTCCTTTTTAAAAATGGGGGTTATGTTTCCCCTTTTCCAGTTAGTGGGAACTTCACCAGACTGCCACAAATTCTCAAATATGGTGGAGAGTGGCTTAGCCACTTCATCCACCAGTTCCCTCAGGACTTCACAAATACATCTCATCAGGTCCCATGGACTTGTGCACCTTCGGGTTCCTTAGATATTCTTGAACCTTATCTTCTCCTACAGTAAGTGGTTCTTCATTGTCCCAGTCCCTGTCTTTACCTTCCGTGACTTGGGCGGTGTGGCTCAAGCACTAGCTGATGAAGACAGAGGCAAAGAAGTCATTGAGTACTTCAGCCTTCTCCATATCCTGGGTAACCAGGTCTCCCCTATAATCCCGGAGGGGGCCCACATTTCCCCTACTCTTCTTTGTTTTATCACTGACATACCTATAGAAGCTTTTCTTGTTGCCTTTGCTGTCCCTGTCCAGATTTAGTTCTATCAGGGCTTCAGCTTTCCTAACCTGATCCCTGGCTGCTCAGACAATCTCTCCGTATTCCTCCCAGGCTAGCTGACCTTGCTTCCACGCTCTGTAGGCTTCCTTTTCATGTTTGAGTTTACCCAGGAGCTCCTTGTTCATCCATGCAGACCTCCTGGTGTTTTTGGCTGACTTCCTCTTTGTTGGGATGCATCGCTCGTGAGCTTGGAGGAGATGATCCTTGAATACTAATCAGTTGTCTTGGGCCCCTCTTCCCTCCAGGCCCTTATCCCATGGTACTCTACCAAGCAGATCCCTGAAGAGGCCAAAGCCTGCTCCCCTGAAGTCCAGGGTAGTGAGCTTGCTGTGTGCCCTCACTGCCCTGAGGATCTTGAACTCCACCATTTCATGGTAACTGCAGCCAAGGCTGCCCTTGGGCTTCACATTCCCCACCAGCCCTTACTCTCTGATGAGAGCAAGGTCCAGCATGGCACCTCTCCTCATTGGCTCCTCTATCTCTTGGAGGATATACATATATTTATATGTATATCCATATATTTATATACATATATTCTATACATATGCATGTATATACATGTATACATACATACATTCCTGGGAGACCAACCTTATAGCAGCCTTCCAGTAGCTAAAGGGGACCTATGAGAAAGCTGGAGAGGGACTGTTTACAAGGGCATGTAGTGACAGGACAAGGGATAATGGGTTTAAGCTGAAGGTGGGTAGATTTAGATTTGATAAAGGAAGAAATTCTTCACTGTGAGGGTGGTGAGGCACTGGAACAGGTTGCCCAGAGAGGTTGTGGATGCCCCCTCCCTGGAAGTGTTCAAGGCCAGGTTGGATGGGGCTTTGGGCAACCTGGTCTAGTGGAGGGTGTCCCTGCCTGCAGCAGGGGGGTTGGAACTAGATGGTCTTTAAGATCACTTCCAACCCAAACCATTCTATCATTCTGTGATCACATGATTCTATTTTTATAAAGATTGTATCTGGAAATCTCATCATTTGCATATGTTTCTTCATACAGTCCCACAGGTGTCTAGTGTAGATGATTTTTCCTTTAATGGACTGCAAACACCTTGCTCATTAGTCTTCTGCTTAACCACTTATTTTCCAAGCTCTCCAGCTCCCCTTTATTTCAGCTATACAGCTGCAGCAGCCAGACACAGTATTTTTCAGGCTTGCTTAGCACCTCTTTAACTTGCAATCTGAAGCTGGGGATTAAGTGGTGTCATACTATAAAACATAATCTTGCAGTGCAGGTTCATCATCTCAGGTGAAGAAAAGTACAGCACTTAAACAAATATGATGTTACAACTATTGCAGTAATAAAAGGGAAGAGCTAGGCAGATTACTAAAACAGTGTAGGTGAAATAGGTCAATGTATAATCTGATTCACCAGCTATAGATACCTGACAGAAACACTAGCTAACTGAACATCTTCAGTAAATCCTAGGGAAGATAAATGCAAACAGATATTAATTACATATTGAGGTATTCCTAAATTTAGTTAAGTCAAAGGTA